TCAACATACTCCCATCACCCTGGTGATACCTGTAGCTCTTGTCAAGTGTAAACAAGCTTATGTTACTGCACAGCTCCACAGGACCTGACAGGCCTCCACAGAAGCCATCGGCAGTGATCGACAGGACCCGCGAAATACCCACACCAAGCAGATTTACGGGGATAATTTGAACACCACAAAATTGCTCACCTTCTTTTCGCAGCAGGTCGAGAAAACGCGTCCAGACAAACGCCATTTGCTATGAAGAACTCTCTCGTTTCACGAACCAGTCTGGTTTCAGCTAAAGCCAGACGGACTCCAGCACTAAAATTATCGAATTATGTAGAAGTACTGAGTAGAACTGATGCCAAACCTGAGCCTTACCTCTCTCCACCTTCCGAATTCAGCAGATCACCCTTTTCAACACCGAGTTTTTCCGCTAAAGTGTCAGCGATTGCGTTGGGTCCAAGAAACAACGCATTCCATGAATGGGACTGAAACCACAAATTCACCTTTGAGAAATCTACTGGTTCTTGAACCGACATTTGTTCTCGAAAGCACATTACACAGTAACCAGAGGGGCGGAGACGGACAAGCATTGCCTACATTTCAATATTTCAAATTCATTACCAATCCACCTGAAACGGTGAGGAGGAACGTTACAAAGCAGAGTACTGTTTCCGCCCTCGAGCTCAGCGCGGAATGCATCTTCTACAAGTGAACAACGCACTCAATTGAATGGAAAAAAAGCAAACCTTTGCTGCGTTTGCTTTCAGCTTCGACAGTTTCTCCTTTTTATACGGAGTCTTTCCAGATGACTCTGTTTTCTCCGGTTCCTTCTTTTCACGTTTTTCCGAACCAGGGAGAATGTGCATCATGCGGCCCTTAAACACGACAGCTTTTCCGGTTCATTAGCCAGTAGAAGGAAAGGAAGTAGAAACCTTGAAAATAGGTTCCATCCGCAGCGGCATACGCTGCAACAGCAGATTCCGGGAACACAAATTCCACTATGGCGAATCCTTTACACTTGCCAGTTTTCTTATCGATTATTACCTATAGCAAGCACGCTGTCAACTGTTTGAATATACACGACGATAACCTGATAAGTAATACCTGAATTTCAGCGATTTCTCCAAATTTCTTGAAGAAAAAGTGCAGGTCTTCTTCTTTCGTGGTGAAGGGTAAATTTCGTACAAAGAGTCTGCCCGTTTCCAGAAGTTCTTCGCGGATTTTCGCCTAAATTCAATCACATTACGATCTACGTCACAAGTAAGTCTTGCGATGACAATGTAAACTCCCTCCCCTCCATCCTAATGCCCTTAGAGACCCGCACTGCATCTTTCCCGGAAAACCAGGCCACGCTCCTAATTGACAAACTGTCTTAGAGGAGTGAAAAAAGAAAAAAGGTAAGGATTTAAAAATATAGACGTATGGCTATGTTCATGTAGGCGACACCAAGCGGTTCACTTGACTCAGCCGCTGACAATGAACACAGCGTAATGTGTTTACGGCTACATTTAAAACCAAAACCACAATAGAGTACATGGCAGAGCGAAAATATATTGATGGGTTTGATGCTTGAGAAATTAATAATTTTAATATCAAAAGCACGACTTCATGCTCCTAGATTGGCGAAGCCAGACCACCGTCATCGGTCATTCGTCGGCACCCTTCCTTCTAGTCAAGCCGCTGCAGGGCATTTGGTTCAACGAAGCAGCATAGGATGGCCGGTGCAGCCCCGCCCACATGGCGAGCGTGAAATGAGCACTCACAGGTTGAATGAGCAATGAGTGAAAACGAAAAAATAGCGTTGTTCTGTCTCCCGGGCTGCACAATATATTCAAAAGCCGAACCAGAAACGATTAACCATCATGATATGTTTACTAGATAACGAAAACAAGAACCTTTCCAACTTTATAGCCTCGCTCGCTGCGGATGATGAGACGTGTGTCAGCGCGTCTGCGTTTGGCAGGTCTGCGTTGGGCAGCCCGTTCCCTTACCAGTCACTGGAGAGGGAAATTGACGAAAATTGGGGAAAACGACTGATACGAAGGATATGATACAGTTTTGTAGTTTGCCAAAGGAAAAAGAAAATAAACGGGTTGGCTCCACGCTAAACGGCTGAACCCAACAGCGCCGATACGCCCAATCATGCTCGGCGAACGAGACCATTGGTCTTTTTTCTTAGTGGTTTAACAAGCTCAAGGCAAAACCAGCTATCAGGTAGCAAATAGCTCTGCTTTATGCGAACAGCGCACCAACATGAATAACTTGCAGACAATGAAAGATAGGCTGTGCTGTGAACTTACCTCTTCTGTCTCCCTACTAATTGTGTTTTCTTCTTCCTCCTCACCCTTATTCTCAGATATCTCCTCTTCTTGAGCCACTTTTGAGATTGTGAGCTGTAACAGGTTTACGTTTATCGGAGCACATAATAAAATCACGTCAGTTATGTTCTTCCCTACATGCAGTGACCGTTACGGATAACTATTAAGGAATAACTGGCGCTTTCTAGGTGATAGTCTTGACCTGAAAGCTGTTTCCGCTAAAAAGAAACCCAAATCCAAAGTGCCAAGCCCTAGCAGTAAACCCAGAAGTACGGTAGACTATGGTAATGTAATTTCTTGAACTTTCCCAGGGTTCTGCCGCGAGAGTTCGCGAATAAATTAAAGACAACAGTTGCCTGAGCTTCGAAATGGACGCTAACGTAATTGGAAAAACGACGTGGGGGTGCCTTTAGATTCCTGCCAGAAACTAAATCTCAAGCTTGATGGAGACATCTTTTCTCTAGACTATGAGACGAGACTATCCCTTGGGGATGCTGGTCGTCGGCAGCAAAATTCGAAGCCTCTGATAGGGAAAGGGACACAAGGACATGAGCGAGCGGCCCATTCCTCATAGGCGCTTCCAAATGCACCAAATGTTGAAAATTTCAGAAACGATTGAAAAGATAGAGCGCGCGAGGTGAGAGTGGTCGCAGAAGGCTATGCATGGAAGCAAACATAAACAAGAGAAGGAAATGGGGTGCAGTTCAACAAGAATGGGACATTTTGCTGGGGACGTAAAACTGAACAGGAATCATTAAAAGTGCGAAATTTCACCCCCACCCCTCACCCCGCTAAGCCGAATAGCGCCGAAAACTGCTTCAAAGAACTAAGCCCGTGGACCGGTGGGTATAAGGAACCTCACGTGTAAAATATGAAGTTTTCGGTGTTACGCCCTACCTTGTAACC